GACAGCTCAGGGATTTCACATTGGCTGCTTGACATAAACAAGCCTTTTGCTCCTTTGCTCCCTTTCACTCTCTTCTTCCTCCCAGCCTAACAAGTAGGTCAAAAGTGAGAAGGCTAGTCCATGCTTCAAACACAACAAAGGGAGCTGAGCAATTTGACACTTTCCAACTATCTGCGGTTTTGAGTCTACGCTGTTTGAAAACAGTCTCATCTCTTGTGTTTACATTCTGAGTGGAAAATTTTTCTTTTGCCTTTGTAGTATTTAGCCTCTTGTCTGATCCAACTGCATTTGTGCAGCTCCGTGCTCTGCTCCCACACCCCTTGAGAATAAAAGGTATTTCCCAACCATCCTCTGTGCATAAACATCCTAAGGTCTACCGCCTGCATATGGGGGAATCCACCGTCAGCCCTTTAGAAGTCTCATATTGCCCCCAGTGAAATCTAACCAGGTTCTGTGGATTCTATACACTATTGAGTTTGGCTCATCTTACTGCATTACCCATGGGACAGTGCATTTGAGCTACTGCCATTTTCCCTTGTCTGTGCACATAGTATTTTCAGGGCTCACTTTCCCTCCTGTTTTTGAAAAGCAAAGCTGTATTGACATAGCAGTACAGCTGCTTCACACATTTTGGCACACGTTTCTTTCCCTTTTGGTTTATAGACATGGAAAGTTGTTTGTGTGCGGGAACATTACTTTTGGCATAGATTTTGTAAAGGATATTTGGGTATTAGGAGGATATTCACAGTCAAATTGAAATTTCAATTTTAATAGTTGTGACTAACAAAATGTAGAGGCCAGATTAGAGATCAACACATTTTATTTAAATGATCAAAGAACTAAATATCTGATGTTATTATAAAATGCACTGACCCTGTTTAGATCTCTGCAAACTGTTCTGAAATGCATGTGATTCTTATATTTGTTTAGAACACCATCCTTCAGTCTTCTCTCAATCAATTCAGCATATTAATATTTAAATTAATTCTTAAAAGTAGAATTCAAACACAATTCAGTCAAATTTTATTTTATTTTAATTTATTATGCTTAAATTGTGTTGAATGCTGGGTTATGGAGGACCAATTGTTTATTCTTTTGTTTGAAACAAAACATACTGCTCTATTGTTTTTCATAATTCTGAAAATACACAAATAATTTAACAAAGCACCATTTCACACTCTGTTTTGAAAGAACAAAACAAAAATCATTTTATCTTTTGTATTTTATTCTCACATTTGCTACTTGTATATTATGAACAAGCCATGGTGATCTTCACAAGTACCCTCTGTTCCGCTGTCAGAAGAGCACTTCTCAAATATCACACATGGCATTTTACTTTTTGGAAGCATCTGCCTATGAACAGCATTTGAACCTCAAAGGCCTTCATAGTCCTGTGTTCATGACATTTTCCCTCTTGTTCTGTGTGATTGTTTTACCTTCTCAGTTTTCTTGTTGTGGATTGAATTACCCTGGCCCTAATCCAATCCAGACTGTAGTGGAGCACAGAACACTGCATGCATGTTATGTGGTAGTGGACATCATTATATAACATAAGTGGAAGAAGCTGACTACAGCAGAGAAACTCAATAAGAGATGATCAACAGTGTGACAGGATGCCCTCCTGTCCTCGGCACCGCGCAGATGGCCAATAATCAACAACAGGAACTCAGTTGTTCTCCTTTCTCCTTCTCAAACGCCATTTTCACACCATTTCCAACAGCCTCTGATAAGACTTCCTTTGAATAAGCTTTCAGCAGTGGAAAGTTTAGCACTGCTCATCACAGCTTCTGTCACTATCAGAATGTGAAGTATACCTCACATATAGGAGAGGATACATATACTAGTAAGATCTAACAGCACTAAAGGGACATAGTACTGTGATCCCCTTACATTATAAATTATTGCCAAGCTTAAATAATCACAACACACATTTAAACTTTCATGGCTGTTAATAGTCTTCTAAGGCACATTGTCAACTGCATATTACAAAGTATAGTATAATGCTTCCAGAAAGGAAAAAGTTGTACCTTTGCCAGCAAGATGAATTCTCATGTTTTCTGTGAGTTTGTTAACTCTTTTGCATCTGATAGGTCTTGCACCACCAGGGGTGCAACATTGTGGTTTGGGCAGAAGCCAGAGGCGAACAAACCAAAACAAACATGGAAACGCCAACAGACAAACCTCAGCCTTTTTAGCGGAAATTCAGACTATTTAGTTAGTGAAAAAACTTGCAGAGGGAAGCGCTTTGTGCATTTGTGGATACGTTAGATGCATGTACTTTTCTCTCAAAAGCAGCTCGTTCTGTCGATGTGTCATTTTGACCAGTCATTGTGAAGTATTCATTTGAACGTTCTGATCACTTTCAGTGAAAGCCATCCCAGATTGATGCATAGCACTCAGTTCAGAGGCTACTCATATCAGTCTGGTGAGAGTCAGGCTAGGTAAATTGTGAATGGGTCAAAATTGTGCTTTTTTGGCTCTTCCCTATAAATCAGGTAAAGTAAGTAATTGAAAATGGATGAATCAGGAAAGCCCACTGATGTAAAACCTATAATAATGGTGTTACTACATCTTCAAATGTCCATCATTAATTGAATATCTTCTCTTAAAATGAAAAACAATTAATATACAGTAAACAATATTTTGCTGTCACCCTTTAATAGTATCAAGGGTTAGACAAATGAAACTTATTAAAGCACTTCTGGTCTCAGAGTGACATCAGCCTCAAACTTGTCAGTGGTGGGAACCTCCAGAGGTTAAAAGCGGTCATTGTGGGGGTCGAGTGTCATTAACATGAGAAAGCCTCTGCTCCTGGTTTCTCTGCACACTGTCTACTTCCCCCATCTGTCAGACACAAGTCCCTTTGCCCACACTATTGCAATGTCTTGATTTAAAAAAAAAAAAAAGAACTTAAGGTGTTTTCAATGGAGCATCAAGACACTGTCTTCATTTAAATGCATTTGAGGCCTTCCCGTGAAATCAAATGATTCAACAAATCTTATCAACCCCAACATTATGGTTATCTAACTTCGCATTTATTTCAAATTTTCATGTAAACCACAATCCAGTTATTTAAGTTATAGCAACATTATAATTCAAGTTCTAGATCCTACAGCTCCAGTTTTGATGGCATTAACATCCGTGCATTGAAAAAGAATGACATGACTTGTTGTTTGTTTACCACCACTTAATAATAATAAGTGTATCATGAAAAGCAGGACTGTTCTAAAAGCTTTTGTCACGTTGTTAATGTTTTTGCCAAACAAAAACAAAAAATCAGTGAAAATGTAGCTTTTTTCCTGAAACCCTCTCCCCGCACTCCTTTTGCTCGCTCCGTGGGCGTTGGGTACACTAAGTGCTTCATGATTGTGAGGATGCTCAAACAGCGGAGGCGTGCACAGCCCTCAGCCAAGTGTCCTCGCTTCCCCAAGTGTTTTTTTCTGCCTGTGTTTAGTCCTGTGTAAGTGGCAATACTCAGTCATATATAAGCCTTTATGTTGAAATGAGACCCTGCTTTGTTGATGTATACACACAGACTCAGGTTTTAAATGTCACATGCAGGTTTAATATAGCACAGTTGCACAATGTTGTTTGCCATATACTAGATATTAAATTAAATTATACCTTGGCAAAGCTGGAGAGTTAGCATCATCATAATATATCTGGCACTATAGACTGTAATTGTATTAAAAGTTTTATAATTTTGTATAGCTTGGCTGCTGAATTAGACCCTTCTAAAATGGACTTGTTTTTGACTGGCAACTTGAAGCAAATTATTTGTTTCTGAAGTGACACTGTCAAAATATGCAGTAAAAAGAGCTCGGTTTTGTAGTGTAACTCTTAGGGGACCAATGTTGACACGAGGAGCATTATGTTGTGCAGCTGTGATGCTATGTTGTGGATGAGGTGTTTTTCATTTGGAGAACTGGGCTGTTAATTAACACACTGCTATCAAGTTTGTCGAGAGTGAAGTCATATCTTCAGAGATGTGACCCCACATTGTTCATCAGAGGATTGATAGTCATACAAAGTTCATTAGTTTAAATCATGTTGAAAATGAAGCTCTCAGCACAATATGATTTCAAGAGATTTTGCTACACCCTTCCTGTTGAAACTGGTTGAAGTGTGCAGTTGACACAACAGCAGCAGATGTGTCCAGAAAGTATTGTTGAGCAATTGATAATAAAAATAAGTATACTTTTGTGTTATCCAGATATTTTAGCAATCCATACAAAATGTATTTATTTGCCAATAAATGTTGTGGTTGAGATTGTAGTATATCAGAAAAAAATTAAATTAACATTTATTTTGTTTTGTTTTGTTTTGAAAAGAACACAGCACATTTTATTTATGATTTAATATAATTACATTTTCAATACATTTCTCACCTCTAATAGCAAAGAATGAACCAGCTATACCGGTCCAGATGCCATCTTATCCTCCACTTAACTTGTCTTTTTTACATTGTTGTTTTTATTCTTATATTTTTGTTCATTGCATAGTTTGTCAATTGTGAGGTTGTTAGGTTGTTGCATGTTTATTATTCAAAATAATCCATTCAATTGTTTTAAAATAATTGTGGTTACTGACTTGAGGCATTTTGAATTACTTTGTGTACAAATTGTGCTTTACAAATAAAATGCCTTACTTTGCCTATCTGGACATGATAATAAATGACTCCTGATTGTGATAACCAAACACAATGCAAAAATAGGATGGGTGACTGATGAAATGTATGACAAATTATTCATATTCATTCAAGGTATAGTTCAGCCAATAGTGACCAAAATGACTGTCTGTCTCTGGCAATCGTTATTATACAGGTATTACAGTCTCTGGACTATAATACTGTATATATAACCTATAAAATACATACATTTCTAATAAATATTTATCATTTTGGCCTAGGCGCACCCCTCAAAAATTATACCACTGCTTCTCTTCCATGTAATAAAATGCTTAAAATAGACCAGTTATTATGTTTTGTCTCCTCTCTCCAGCGGTCAATTTGCGGTGGTCAGAAGATGCCGACACAGAGACACAGGAGTGGAGTACGCTGCCAAATTCATCAAGAAGCGACGCAGTAAGGCCAGTCGTCGAGGAGTGTCCCGGGAGGACATTGAGCGCGAAGTGAGCATCCTAAAAGAGATCCAGCATCCCAACGTCATCACTTTACATGAAGTCTTCGAGAACAAGGCCGAGGTCATCTTGATCCTGGAACTGTGAGTGGAGTTTTTAGATTGACAGCTCGTGAATGCTGTAGCTCTAACAAAATCTATATCATAAGTTGTAGTCATATTCATCCACAAGGGAAATTACTTGGACACAGCAGCTCACACATTGCAATATAATGGCAATCGTGCGCTGTCCCTGTCTCAAATAAATAAATAAATAAGGAGGAAAAATAAATTAATGCAAAATAATTTTAAAATAATTAAAGACTCAAATAAGGAACACAAATAAAATATAGTAAATATGAAATAGAGATCAACTGATTGACCGATATGTAGGGTAGATTATTTTTCCCAAATTATTTTATAAAAATTTACTATAAATTCACTCAGAAACCACAAATCCACAAAATAGTTGTATGTGTATTCTTTAGGCACCAAGGCAAAACAAAATGAACAAACCGATATATCCCAGTCTATCTATAATATAAAATATATATGGGTTGTGTGTGAAGTAAAAGCACATACTTCTACACACCCTTAGGTAAATGTTAGTTGTTAAACCTGAGAGTTCTTGTAGAAAAAATATCTGAAAACTTTGTAGACTGACCTTTTTCCCACAAGGCACTTGTCAGACCAGATCTTCCAGGTTTTATTTAACCCTTTAGAGCATTTCTGTTTACATTACAATTTCACTGCTGACGTACCGGTACGTGTTTTGAACCTATGAGCAGGTCAAATCTCATTTACAAGGTCAACTTCCATCCTTCGTTATCTCAGTCTTCAACATAGATAGTATCTATGATTGTTATTATTGTTATCCCTTCTGTAAAATTATTTGAAATGTCCAGTTCTGTCTGATTGAACTTGCTCTATAAGGTTTAGTATCTTCTGTAGGACATTCCTGGTCTTATATTTTTAGTGCGTTCTCGTCCTCATAATAAACAGTTTAATTAATGCTTATCACTTTTATACAAGGACATATTGAAATTGATATTAGTTTTGATGTATTTTTAATAAAATGTATATATAATATTTAGAGTCTGAGTGCACATTTATCTACATTTATTTGTAATTAGCCTATGTTGAACCTAGTGACATGTTTAAACTATTTTAACTATTAGTGTGATGATTTTTATTGTGCCTATTCATTCCCTCTAATGTTACCTGTGCCCTCAGATTTATGTTTAGAGTACACTCTTTAAACAATCAATAGCTGGGCGGTCAATACGAGGAAATGTTTGAAATTCTTGTAATGGTTAGGTCTGATAATGGACAAGACGGAGGCTAAATCAAGGCTCCAACTTTGATATTTTAAAAGGCAGAGAGCACACAGCCTCACTGAAGACATTTGCTGATTGAGACTGATGAGTGCCTAAGCATGGATAGGATTTCGTCAAGGCAGGAATAAAATCCAACTAACATCACTAATGCCAGGTCACCTTGCTCCACCTGAGAGTCCATTGTGTTATAATTATATAGAAAGTTCCACTTGAACTATATTTAATTACTAATGTTCGGTTTCAGGCAAAGCTGTGTGTTTTATTCATGTAAAAAGAAGGGAGGGTTTAAGGGACAAAGAAGCAGAGACAGACCTAACGACCTGCACATTACCTGGACATATTTCACCTTGTTTTTCAGACTTATTTGGTTTCAACACATTAACCGCTAATGCACTAGAACAGCTGATGAGGTAAACAACATGATACAGTGGACTGTGGAGGGTGGGGCTGTCTAACTCTCATTGTGTTATTTCCCTCAAGGGAGCCGTATGTTATTTTGCAATATAATACACACATGAATTAACTAGCCTTCACATACCCCTTGATATATCATGCGTTAGTCAGTACATAAGTATCTGTGTAATTACAGCACCCTTCCTCTTCACCTTTTCTTACTTCCCCTTATTTATTATGTCACTTACTCCACCCGACTGATTCAATGACAATCCAGCATAAACAAATTTGGTTATTTTTAGTTGTCAGTTTAAGCATGCACTATGCTATTACAAGCTTTATTCCTTTGCACTTCTCTGAATCTTTAAAACCCTATTGGCCAAGAGAAGATGGTGTTATTTACCTTCTGGGTAATGGACCCACCAGCACCAAAACCCATCCTATTATTCTCCATTAAATGCTATTATTTTAGTGATAACTTTGGTGGATGTTCCACTACCGCTCGTTTCTCCTGGGAGATGCGATTGCTTTGCCTGGAACAGTATGACATTAAGCTTAACTAACTCAATGAGGATTTATAAACAGGTGGCACCATCAGGCTAATTTACTGGTCAGATCTGTGCAAAGTTTTTTTTAAGTATTAAGATATGTGATGCAGTGTTATTAGGGGAGACTATCATATCAAACTAGCTAAAAAAATATTGGTAGATGATACTTTGTCCTTGCAATATTACCACTATCAGTTTGAAGTAAAATTTAACTGTAATGATCTCCATGGAGACCAGCAGTTGGTGGTCCCCCCACCAGAAAAGTTCTTATGCACCTTAAAGAGTAACTTGATAGAGAACAATGATGGGTATATTTCACATCAACAGTGTAAATTTGCCGGTCTGTAATGCACCCAGATGATTAGATTACACAGGCTCAGCTCCAGTAAGAAGGGATTTGCAGCGGCTCTGATCTAAGAGTCGTCACATTTTAATTCTTTCCGTGTCCCTTGACCAGAGTGGCGGGCGGTGAACTGTTCGACTTTCTGGCAGAGAAGGAGTCTTTGAGTGAAGAGGAGGCCACACAGTTCCTCAAACAGATCCTGGATGGAGTCCAATACCTGCACTCCAAGCAAATCGCACACTTTGATCTTAAGGTACAAAATAACAAAATTGTCATTATCATTTTTGTTTAAATGTGTGATGCTTTTTCCATGCTCCTCTGTCCTTCACAATCTCCTCATTAATGCCTTCTCTGGTCAGGTCCTCAGAGATCTCATTTCTCCATCTTGTTCTTGACCTGCCTGCAAGTCATAACACAATTGTGTCTCTTAACTGTATAATACTATGCAAGTAAGGTGCATTGTCTTTATATACAGTTCTGCAGTCATTCCCACCTGGGATTTTCTGGGATTCTTAGAAAAGATGTCCAGACTAGATTGGGTGAATTTCAATGATGGGATGGCATCTTAAATGCTTATATGAAGTGTCATTACTCTTCTGTATCATCTTTTAATCAGAAGGTTATTATATTTTTCTTAAAGACAGTAGTTTAACAGGTAGGAGAAGTATGTAGGGTTTGCTGTTGTATTATCTGAAATAGGGGAGAAAAAAGGTTGGAACCACAGTTAAACAGGTGCTTTACATAAGTGCTTCTTGGCCTGTGTTTATATTTAGCTGACATTGAATTGTCTTCACTTAGAAATGTTGATCTTGTAAAACTGAAGTGTACCAAGGCAGCCGTGCTAGCAGACAGGACTAAAACACATCACTTAGTAGTTTAGGCTGCCACTGAATAATATTTTGCAATGAATAGAAACCACTCCCTTCTCAGATCTTAATTGTAGTACATGTACAAACTAAAATGTGATAACATGATAACTTCAGGTTGCCATGCTGCAAATGTCCAAAATGTTTGTCACTAGTTGTTTTTAATGTTTTTATATGGTCAAGTATTAGTTGAGTTTCAGTAACGTTGGAACTTTGACCGAACCCTTTTATCATCAGCATCATATCTGTTTTTTTTTAAAGAAAACCCCACCTGTTGTAATGCATTTTAAAACAACCAGATGGATGAGCTTAGAACAAATTATCTCCCAGTTTAGAAGCAAATCAATTGTTTGCAGGCAGCAGTCCCAATCAATGCATTAAATTCCATAAAAGGATGTAAACAAAGGAGGCAACAGAAGCAAAAGTACTTTTGGTGGAGCATATGAATAGCATGAAATAGCATGTTGCTCCTTTGAAGTGTCATTTGTTATATAGAGCTGGGGTCTCCATGGTTAGCTCCTTCTGTTGCCTCTGCAGCCCACAGCCAATCTGCCCTAGCTCTTTTACAAACTAAACCCTCAGTGGATTTGAAAAGACGGTTTCTTGTGTCTTCAGGAATTCCCTCTGTCTGTCGTGATTCTTTTCAGCACTTACTCAAGGGTTCTACCCCTGTTTTGCATGTCATTTCCATGGCCACTGTGGCTCCTTCCTGCTAGGCCTGTTCTGTCATCTGTTGATTGATCCTAATCCTGGAACAAGGAAAATGTTTTAGTGATTTACATATAACATATAAGTATATTACATTATTATTAATAAAAAGGCGATGTAATAATAAAAAAGTATTGGCAACAAAGAAAATTTGACTATATTATGCAAGTAATTTTGACTATATTTGCAATGCAATGATGAGTAACTTCTTGTTAAGTTAGTGAAAAAATAAAGTTAGTTCCATAAAAACTGTCTTACAATGACGAAAATATATAATATAATCAATAAAAAATTTGAGTATCACATTCATAAACTAACATGAACTATCATTATTCAAAAATCTTGTCCCATTCTCGTGGACTCAGTCCTGTGTGTGATCTCATCTTGTGGGAATTGTCTTCTCCCATTATTTTCATAATGTACATAAATTCTAAATCGGCTGACAACTATATTTCTTTTCAAGTAATGAAGCATCTCAAACTGTGTTACAGATCAATGTGGTCCTGTAGTTCAGTATCTGTTGTGTTTTTGTGTTTTTCAGCCAGAGAATATCATGCTGCTGAACCGCTCTGTGCCTCACCCGCGCATCAAGCTCATTGACTTTGGCCTGGCCCATAAGATCGACTTTGGCAATGATTTTAAAAACATCTTTGGTACACCAGAATTTGTAGGTCAGTGCGGGTTGCCTTATAGTACCATGTTCTCAATATGTTTCAGTTTATTTTTAGTATGTTTCATGCTGTGTCAACCAGTACATTCTGTGTCACCCACTTCACTGGCTTTATCCCAGTCCCGGTGTGTCATCTTTACAGCAGATGCTCATCTCAAGCAACTGTGCAAGATAGAACAAATTGTTAACGAACTAACCAACAAGATTATTTATTTGTGTCGTGCAAAGGGTAGTTTATATTTCATGACTCATTTAAGATTATTGAATTACAAAAGCAAATGTCAGTTGTAGAATGTGTGGGCAGTAAAGAAGGTGTTTCAAACAGAACAGACATGACCAACAGTAAATATTTCAGAAGTTCTTTTCCAAATGAGAAAGGAGAAAAGAATTATCATCCCATTATAAATCAGTTTGTTTTGACTTGATTATTAGGATTCATTCAAAGCTTTTTCATACCTTAAGCTATAGTTAAGTGGATTGTGACTGATGGTGACTGCAGTATAGTTTTCACAAAAGACTAAATGAGAAACATTGAGGGGTGTTACAGCATCTTTGACCTGACTGTGTATGTGCTACAGCTCCAGAAGTAGTCAACTATGAACCCCTGGGCCTGGAGGCGGACATGTGGTGAGTGAATAGATTAAATAATGGCATCACATGAATTTGTGTTATTATAGAACAGCTGTTTGTCTGACACGTCTATGTCTTTTTGCCTCTCTCAGGAGTGTTGGTGTGATAACCTACATACTGTAAGTATCTGACCTGCTGCCACTCACAACAGAATAATTCTATTAAAAACTGAACAAACTTAAAACCTTGCAAAAGTCTCTTGTTAGACTGGAGCACACAGTTTTTATATCTCCTGCATACTTCCCATTGGGGCACTTTTATGTCACAGTAACATCACACAGTGTTGATAAATGATCATAATACTTTGGTTTGCAAATATGGGCAGATCCATGCACAGCAGCATAAGCAGTTTTGCATCATCTGGAACCGAACAAAAACTGATGCTCTCCATCACTCTGCACAAACAGCAGCGCTCCCACCCACACAGCTGTCATGGCTCTGCCAGGCACTGCAGAAAATAGACTGCTCCCTGTCTAATATCACAACCTACTGCAAGGTGCTTTACAATCACATGCAAACTACCTGCATGTCCCAGTGTCCCCAAACCACTTCTCAGAGTTTCAGTTTGATTCATCTATATTCAACATTACATCAAATGGGACAGCACAGCTTGACTGTAGTGTTTTGTTGACAACAAGCTGCGTATCCATGGGTTACCATTTTGAGCAATTTTCACCATTCAAAAGATGTAATAGTTTGGTTTGAATTGGTAATTGCCATGGCAGCAGTGCTTATTTACACTGCAACTGTCTAAAGAACATTAAATGAAATGAGTGTTGTTGATTTTAATGGCTCTGTTAGTACAGTCATTACATCAACGGCTCTTCACTTTAACCTGGACCACCTCATGTCTGTCCCAGCTGCTTGTGATCTGCGTCTGGTACTGACAAGATGCTGAGACTTCAGTGAACCAGCAAAGATGGTCAGTGTAACTAGGGCCAGTATAGGCTTCTAACAAGCACATGCACACTCTGTGTACAGTGTATTCTGCTGAACACACCCAGTGAGGCACAGAGAGCAGCTGCTTTATAGGGAAGTATTTGGAACTCAGCCACCACAGTTTTTAGCTCTGCTCATGAGTCACTGCTTGCTGCTGTGTGCCTTGAATAGTTTTCTCACATCTGCAGGTTATAAGTCTCTATGTGGGCTGAAAGTGATCACTGTATCAAAAATAACTGCAATGCTGTACACTGTTCTTATATAAACAAAATATAGATACATTTTTATAAATCAATTTTTGTTTGGTGTTTTCAGACTCAGTGGAGCATCACCATTTTTGGGTGACAATAAGCAAGAGACATTAGCCAATGTGTCGGCAGTCGATTATACATTTGAAGAGGAATTCTTCAGCAACACCAGCAAACTGGCCAAAGACTTCATTGCAAGACTCCTTGTTAAAGACCCCAAGTATGTGTGTATGTGTATACAGTATGAGGTATATAACAAGAAATGTTTAAAGAGCATCTAGTGAATATGGATTTCAAAGGCCTCATGTCTTTGAAACTTAAAAATACAGACTATAAGAAACCTTACAGAAAATGTATTTTTGTAGTTTATTGACCATTAAATGATATGGTATAATTTTTTTATCTATTTTGTCACTCAATGTATTCTCCATTTGTTGTTAGAAAAAGAATGACTATCCAGGACAGCCTGCAACATCCCTGGATTAAAGTACGTATCTATAAATTACGATATTTTATTACCACAGTTGTCTTGCAAAAATGTAAATGTATTCTATAGATTTATTTTTTTCTTTGAACATCGATGACTTAAAGTTTTGTTTTCTGTTGAAAAGCCGAAAGACACACTGCAGGCACTGAGCCGAAAGGAGTCTGCTGTCAATATGGAAAAGTTTAAAAAGTTTGCAGCACGAAGAAAATGGAAAGTAGGTTTTTTCATATTTATATTCCATCTAAGCATTAGACGTCTATGAAAAATATATTATTTACACTATTTTACCTCCTGATTTTAATCATAAAATGTTTTTTTAGCAATCTGTCCGACTTATTTCCTTATGCAACCGCCTGTCCCGGTCATTCCTGTCTAGAAGTAATATCAGTGTGGCCCGCAGTGATGATACTTTGGTAAGAAATGTTTTAAACTCAAACCCTTTCAGTTACAGCTCTGGTATCCATAGCTTTTCTGTATCTGTGATAGTACCTGCCAAAAGTAATTGATCTACTCCTCATTTCCGCAGGTGAGGCAATGAACTGTTGGAATGTTACCGCTGCTTAGAGACAAGTGGACATTTGTTTTATTTGTGTTGCTTTATTTGACTTGACTTGCGCTGTTAAACGTATAGTTAGTATTTGTTGAGGGTGACGGGCCCAGCCATAAAATTGTAAACAGTGTTGCCTTGGTTACGAGTTTAATCATTGACAGAGTACTTTGAAAGGTGCTTCCTCAAGAGGGAGTTTGCTGACAATTCCCTTCTGTCACAGGTCGCTGGAATGCACAACAGAATATCTGTAGCTAATTACTCCACTTACACAAAGAGAAAAGTGATGTAGTTACAGTCCATTTACCCAGTCTGTTGTTGTGAATGGAACAATCAAACAATCAAACCACAACCTAAATGCTTGTACAGTATCCATAGGCATTCCTGAGTAATTTTCTATATGCTCTATGGTGCTTGTAAATATTGGAGCCCTCTGAGGTGGTTGAGCCCCAGATCTCAGCAGGGAAGTTATGTAGAGGAATGTAGCTGGATGTCCACGCTTGGCTGAACACATTGGCTCCACATCGGCTTGCCCCCCTCCTTCTCTTTATCACCCCTGCCCTATCCATTCTCCTTGTCTCCCAGTGCAGCAGAGCGTCACAGCTGTGTCGTCAGACTGCCTGTAGTTCATGGTTATTGGGTCACTTGTTGTCAAATGAGAGACACTTGCATTTGACCTAAAGGAGAATTGAGTGGGTTTTCAAAGACTGTTTAGTTCTGTGTTTTTGTGGTTGGGCGCACATTGAAAGAGATCTGGAGGAGCATGTGATGAAAATAATTGGGGGGATTACTGCTTACAAGATCAGATAACTGTAACTGTGACTGTGTTTCCCACACTTTTAGGATGAGGAAGACTCATTTGTGATGAAGGCCATTATCCATGCCATAAACGATGACAATGTACCTGGTCTACAACACCTGCTCGGCTCACTGAACAGTTATGATGTGAACCAGCCTAACAAGGTGACAAGCCCTCAAAATACTTAATATAAAACTATTGTCATTTACACATGAGACATTTATTTGTGACCAGGTTTTTGCAGACTGGTGAACATTACAGACAGCTTTGCTCATGGACAAACATAAGCCTTGAATTCAGCAGGCCCAGAGTTTGTGTTGCACTGTGTCATACTTACCAGCATAATCATTTTGATGATTAAAAGTGCCATTCACTTTGTACTATTTAAGCCTATCCTTGCTGTTAAAGGCTTGGGAGGGGTACACCAAGGACAATAGCCATTTAAAGGGCTGATGTTGACAATGCTGCATAATCACTCACTCCAACATTCATTTGCTATAAGCCACCACCTATACAGACGCGCCTTGGGCTGTAGAAACAAACTGAAATGCCTGAGACACACCACAGTAGTGGGAAAAACAGTAGTGTTCAAGCAGAAATAATCCATACCAATTTTACAGGATCCACAACATTCAAATAAATATTTTCTGTGAATTGTTTGTGCACATTTTGTTTGTTTAGTAAAAGTGAGACGCTTATGTAATTACTAATACTGCCTTCACTGCCCCACACAGTTAGTGACTAAGTTAAAACTCTGTGTGACAGTACAAAAGTAATGTGTATATTTTGTTGTTATGGCAGCATGGCACCCCTCCTCTCTTGATCGCAGCAGGCGGTGGCAACATTCAGATAATCGAGGTGTTGATGAGGAAAGGTGCTGAAATCAAGGCCCACGATAAGGTAATATCTGTGTTTCAGTGAGAGGAAAAATACAACAGCTTTGATTTGTATAGATTTATTTTACATATTATTTTTTAAATTAAGTTTGCTCCTGTTTTGTTCTCTTAAAGTTAAGATGAATAGGATATGTTTAAAGAGGGGGCTATAATCACAACTGTGACTGGGTTGCAACCACAGACTGTAAGAAGTGGGCTCCAGTTAAATGACGCTCACAGTACTAGCAGTTATATGAGCGAATTTGGAGCCAGGTCCATATTAGGAATAGGAATTTATTTACTTAAAAATAATCACATAAAAACAGGATCATGTAGAGCAGCTTAAGATGTACATTTTAAGACCAAACGATGAGGCTCACTGCAGCAGCTACAGTGAGAGGGGTGACAATTTTCCAATGTAAAGTCAATTGGAAACCGAGTTGATGGAGCTGGAAGTGACCCATGAACACTTTCTATTTGGAAGGTGGCGGTTAGCTATGTCCCTTTATATATACAGTCTACATAATGGACATAAAATTATAACGATCATTATCAATAAAGTCATTATTAGATTAGATCTACTGCACATCTGGGCCAATAGATAAGTAATGTTTATAAAATATTAAATTAAAAACTTACACAGTGGCTGGATGTTGTGTTGTGAAAGGTCAGAGATAAATGCTGAATGTTTATTTCAGAGCGGAGCCAATGCTATCTACTATGCAGCAAGACATGGCCATGTGGACACACTAAGATTCCTCCATGAGAAGAAATGCCCTCTGAATGTGCAAGATAAGGTGAAGTCCCACTCCTCGTCTCTGTAGTTTACCCATCTCAGTATTGGCACAAAGATCTACTCTTTGTAGAGTTTTCAGTTTTCTTACCTATTCCTTCAACTCTCCAAGATGTTTGATTTTCCAAAATGTTTATGTGCACAGCTTCGCATATTTAGCTTCTCAGCTCTCAAGTGTAGTGTTTATGTAATTATGGCATCATCTTAAGAGAACTCTACTTCTCAGTTTTTTTCAAATGGTTAATTATGTTGTAAATAATTATTTGTCCTCATAGTCAGGAGAGACTGCTCTACACGTTGCTGCACGCTATGGAAACGTGGACGTGGTGAGCTATCTGTGCAGCATCAAAGCTAATCCAGACCTCTGTGACAGGGTAAGGACACATGTCATTTTGTACTGTATTGTATCACTGTAAGAAACTTTGTAATCATTATTTTGTGTTTTGAATGTCTTTTAGGAACAGGAGACACCGTTACATTGTGCTGCCTGGCATGGATACTCTGCAGTTGCTCGGTCACTCTGTAAGGCAGGCTGCCATGTGGACGCTAAGAACAGGGAAGGGGAGACAGCTCTCCTAACGGCATCTGCCAGGGGCTTTGTGGATATTGTGGAATGCCTCATAGAGCATGGGGCAAATGTGGAAGCCACTGACAAGGTGAGCATATTATGATTGAATGAAAATTTGTCATGTACATTAAGTACCTGGTAGATTCACTGGCTCAGCTGGCTCCTCCATATGTGTAGTAGCAGCGACTCTACTCTGAGCTCCTCCTAGGTGACTGAGTTCAAATTTCAATCCCAGTCTCTAAGGGAGAGCCCAACCCCCTTTAACAGACATATCATAATAGATCTGATCTGATGATGACCGAGGAAGTGTGTTTGCAGGATGGCCACACAGCTCTTCATCTGGCTGTGAGGAGATGCCAGGTGGAGGTGGTCCACTGTCTTCTCAGGCACCACTGCAACGTGGACCAGCAGGATCGTCATGGCAATACACCCCTCCATATCGCCTGTAAAGATGGAAACCTCCCTATTGTCATCGCCATCTGCAACGCTAAGGCTAACCTTGACCTGCCAAACAAAGTTAGCATTTTTATAATATTACATCATATCATTATATTATTTTACTATTATGGTATATCATATCATTTTATTTTTTCTTGTATAGTTTTAGTGTGAAGTGATGTCAACATACAACTGGAGACTACATTAAACAGCATATTAACTTAAAACTATATTTTGTTTGGATCTCTTTGATCTCGCTTGCATTTCTAACATGTAATGCATTAAGCAGTGAACACCTTTCAATACCTTGATCTTCCTCTTACAGTCTGGAAGGACCCCCCTCCATTTAGCATCTAATAATGGAGGTCTGGAGGTTGTGCGCCATCTCTGCCTTGCTGGAGCCAATACTGACGCTGTTACAAATGTAAGTAACAAGCGGCAGTATTTTCTGCTTGTAACTATGAAGAAATGCTACTCATTAATTTGACTGGTGATTGGAGAAAGAGTTACTTTTACGGTTAAATAATTGCACTGTAAAAAGATGATGTCTGAGTAACTGTTTTAGTAGATACAGTTTAGTTCTTTAGCTCTTTGGAGTCTATGTGATAAATTGTGCTATACAAATAAAAGAGGAAAGGAGTGCCTAAGAAAGATCTGTGATTAAAAAAAAAATAAAAATCCCTGCAGAACACAAAGGTCACATTTTCCAGAGCGCAAAACAATCAATATTTTTCAGGTAACATGCAATTAAACAGCTGATTTACCCTCTTTGTCATTTGAAATTGTACTGTATAGTTTTTTTTTTTCCTATGACTTCTCCCCTTCAATTCCGTCTATTGAGCATAGAGGTTTCAGTTGTCTCTTTGCTTCTCCCTTTGTTAATATTGTATGACGGCTGATGTGTTATGCATATTTAATCTGGACGGTGCATACTAGAATGTATAATTCATTCTCAACTGGACTGTGGTCAGGGGGTTATTTTGTAGCCCATTGGTTATCGAATTGTTTTTATGGCAGGTAGAAGTCAAATTAGAGTGTTGAATTTAAACAGAAAGAAGTAAATATTTGTATGCTT